AAAGCTCCCACAAATTTTGGGTGCTGAATCTACTGATCGACTGTACCGTAGCGATGGCGTTTGTGGTCTCTGAACACTATGGCCGGTCTCACCAGCTGTTCCTCGACGCCTCTACTTTGACTATCCCCAACTTCATGAAAGGAATTTGACGTCCGATAATCTCCGATACCGTGCAACCTCCCGCCTTCTTGACGGTCGATATTCTACCACCGCCGACAGTTTTTTTCTCCTGAGCCCTCCAAACCACAAAAACCACCATCAACTATATTTTTATGCCTTAAGCTCAGGAGTTTTTTTTCACTGCTGGCCGGATTTGTGTTTAATCGCTTCCCTTGACAAGGCCTGTAAACTGGCATTAAATTGAAATTTATTTATTTATTTATTACCAAGATCCTATTACTTACTGCCAGAATTTGGGTTAGAGGTGTAGTAGTGGTGGTAGTAGTGGTAGTCGTCGTCGTCGTTGTTGTCTTCGTCGTCGTTGTTGTATTTTCGAGCACTCCAGGACATTTTCGGGGTAGTAGGCGATATCGTTAAAAAGTGTGCATGACGGTATGATATAAAGGAGCCACAAACTGTTGAATATTGTTTTAGTAACTGAGGCATGGACCATGCCTTCCACAGCTGGCTCTAAGCTCTCTCTCGTCTAGACTATACTCGCAATCGAAATGGTCGTCAAGGCGTCCGGGTGGGGGAAAATGAACTTATGAACACATGCATTTATGCCTCTGGATCTCCCGCATTTTCACAAATTAGAAGGTAACTGCTGGTTTCAAGTTGCTTTCAAACGGTAATTGCTCTTTACCCGTCGGCACTGTCCATCGCCAATCCAACGTCACTGAGGATCTTGATTTTCATCATTTACAGGCATTTCATGCCGCAGCTGACTTAAACTTTATGCATCAGTTGGCTGTAGGCGATTTCAATCTTCCTGAAGTCCGCTGGTCTCCGCCTTCTGGTCCCAAAAGTTCGGAGGCTTTCTTGAGACTGTGGATATTGGCAAGTATAATCAGGTAAACGAGGACCAAGCAAACCTGACCTAAGTGAAGATGAAGAGTTGAGCACCGGAACACTTTGTTTATTGTCCTGAGCTTTCAGACTCATACAGGAGTCCATCGTCGGAGGTAGTAGCAGCAACAGAACAAGCGACAGTTATAGTAGGCCAATCATAAGCTAATTTCCTGCAGAGGTTGTATGCCTTTGTCCATGTCATCTCTAAGTCCACTTGGGGCTCAGAGCACGACGTAGTTGTTCCTATGTTAAAACTCGAGAATGATAAAATTTTGCTCGAAAACATTGCTTCTTCTTCGATTTCCGATCTACCCGTTCGGCAGGCATATTAGCACACCTTACTTCCAACGACTGCACTGATTTCTTCCTAATTTCGGATGTGAATGTTTGCGCCACTAAACTGTACGAAGTTTTGGATCCACTTATTTTTTTTTCTTGTCCCCGTGAGAAAATAATCTGAAAGTGCCCCAAAGAGTGTCAAATAAAGCAATTCATTTATTTATTAATGGTGGGCATCGGGTTCTCTTTCCTTTAACCTTTCGCCGTCGGTCGCGTAGTCTATCTTAGTGATTCCGTGTCTAGAAAGACGTTTCCTTTCTGTCCTCAATTTGTCATATTTCTGAGCTGGTCAAAAAGTTGTCCGATCATGGCCTTCAGGATCGTCCGAGAGCTAATCTGTGCTCTTCAGTCTGACGATTTTTTCGAAATGGCGCGGACGACAAATCTTCGAGGACACCAATACAAAATGAAGACGAAATATGCCAAACTCGAATTACGGGCCAAATTCTTCTCCCACCGGCTGGTTGAGGGATGGAACAAATAGCCGAACTCCGTCGTCTTAGCGGAAAACGTCAAGACTTTCAAAAGAAAATTAGATAAATATATGCTTGACGGTCAAGCATTTACATGATATCAATGACTAGCATAACTGCTTATGTAAATATCTGCATGTTTTTTTTCATACATCTATCTGTAAATAGGGTTTTCTAAGGCTCTGCCTCAATACCTCATATATACTGAATTATACTGAAGAAAAACGGCTAGCCGAAGAGATCAACTTCAGCGAAAACTGTAATCCTCCCTCATCGGTCCTCCTCTAAGCCTGGTCACGAAATCGCATCCATTGCTAAACGATAACGATGAATGTCGCAAAACTATTCTCTCGAAAAGTAAGGGCTCCTAGTAAAACGCAGCCTCCGATCCTCCGAGACGGCCTTGGAAATCCTGTATCAGACGCCAAGTTGACCGCCCACAATTTCATCTCACTCTTTTACGAAGCGTTTATTAAAAATTCGACCGTTCCGCTTCCCACCATCCAGGCTTGGACTGACGCCGTTCTCGAAACCGTAAGTTTCAATCTGTGAGACGTTACTATAACGATTCGGTGTTTTCATTAATCTCATAGCCCTGGACCTGATGATGTCACAGTTAGCATTTTGAAAACGGACGCAAACAAGGTTTTTTCGTCCCGCCTGTACGAAGTACCTAATCTCGCTCGCTAAAATGAAGCCTACCCCATCCTGCGGAAGGACACGCACATTTTGCCTATCCCCAAAAACGGCTAGAATACGACATTTAATGATTTTCGGCCAATAAACACCATCTAAGCTGTTTCGAAAATCGTAGAGACATTGATAAAAGAAAAGGAGATGTGACGTTTACCAGAGAATAACCCACTGAGAGCTGCTCAGTACCGATTCTTCAAATGTCGGTCTTGTGAAGACTGTCAACTGTCTATATCGTGTTCCTAGTCTTTTATCTTTTCACCTTAGAATCACGAAGCTGTTTAAAATAGCCTCAAGGATGCGCCAAGAGCACGCTAAGCAGAGAGAATCACTCGCTCTCAGTGACCCGAACCCTGCCAAATCCGTCGCTAAAATCTTCCGTCATCGGTCCTCCTCTAAGCCTGGTCACGAAATCCCATCCATTGCTAAACGATAACGATGACATTGACAAGGCCGAACTGTCTAGTGCTTTCTTTGCAAAAAATCTTACTGCTCGGTCCAAACCAGTCCCTTTCTTTTGTTCTCTTTCAGATAGGACACTGAGTAAAATCAACGCCTCCTCAGATATCATTAAGAAACATATAAGTTGTTTGAAAAAATCACACTGCTCGAGAACAGACGGGATTACACATTCGATTATTAAACAGGCATCCGACCTTCCCATATTGCTTAGTCATTTATTTTCTGTTTAAATTTCAAAAGGGTTTTTTCCTGAAACATGGAAGACGTCAATTATCATTCCTGTCTTCAAGTCTGGATTTCGGTCCGATGTTAATAAATATCGGACGTCACAAAACACTGTCTCTAGCAAAGAATCTTGAAAGGATAATTTTCAATGAAATTCTTCACTTCTGTCTAGCTAATCGGCTTCTGAGCCCTAATCAGCATGGACTTTTACCCGAACGTTCCTGCGAAACTTGCCACTTGGCATTTCTTAATCTAATCACTTGTCTTCGTAATGAGCAGCAGCCAGTGGTAGTTATCTTCTTTGATCTTAACAAAGCCTTCGACAAGGTGTCTCATAGACGTCTTTTGGTAAAATTGGAAGCTCTCGGCACCCGGCCGCCCCTACTCGACTTCATTAGGTCATATCTGTTCAACGGATATCAGAAAGTCATGGTCGGTAATAGCTACTCGACACCTCACTCGATCACGAGCGGGGTGATTCTAGGCACGGTTCTGCGTCCGCTAATCGTCCTTCTTTACATCAATGATATTTCGACTGAACTCGGAAATTCGCAAAATTTTGTTAATGTCGATGACCTCAAGTGTGTTTGCTCATATTTTAAGGGCACCGAAAATGTTTGTGTTGAAAAAATTAGTGTAGATTTACTACAAATAAGGGGATGAAGTCCAACGTGGCAGAGGGAGTTTTCATCGTCTAGGCGTAGTTACATGTATTTTGGTCCTACCAAAACTCCGGGTCCCAAAATTTTTCAGAATAACCCACTCTCAGAATGCTTCAACATAAAGGACCTAGGTCTAAGTTATACAAATGAACTTGCTTTATCATCTCATTCAGATATAAGCTCTGCCAAAACCGCACAGATATGTGGGTTCATATCGCATAATTTTTTCCTCCCGGAAATGAAGCAAAGACTGTATCACATGTTTGTTCTTCCTGCCTTCGAATACTGCTGCCCATCCTTTGGTTTAATGAACGCCTGTGACCCTTATAAGATGGAAAATATTCAGAGGGGTTTCACTCGGAAACTCTTCTCTCAAGTCGCAGCAGGTACTTCTTATAATAAAAAATGTCAAGTGAAGAACATTAAGCTTTTATGGGTAAGAGCACACGAAGTTGCCCTTTGCTTCCTTTTTCCCAATAAATTTAGCCCTCAACTCTCACTTTGAGAGATCGGTCGAATGTTTGTACTTCCCATTCTCGAGTATTGTTACCCATTCTTTGGTTTGATGAATGAGGCTAGTCGTTCAAATGGAAAATATCCAAAGACGTTTTGCCAGAATACTTTTAGGCAGGGAACATCGAAATATCTCCTACTGAGATAGATACCAGCTAATTAACCTTCTATTTTTTGGGTTCGAAGACTAGATTCAGGCTTCTGTCTCCTCTTTCGCATTAGTAACACTTCAAATCTTCCTCGGATTTCTGCACTTACCCCTAGTGGTCGCCCATACGATCTTCTCAATTCTTACTTGACTATACCTCCTCCCGCTTCCTCCACCTCTAAGCGCTCTCCTTTTTCGCTTCCAGGAATACTTTCCTCTGGATTAACTTTCCAATAAATATAAAATCTTCAGGTAATCTACGCACTTTTAGGAGAAGGCTACACCTTTATCTGAATACGGACTCGATAAAACCTTTATTTTTCTCATCCTTCCCGGACAACTTTCTCTATGACACTGAGAAAGGGCCACCGTGAATTTAGGACGCCGCCATTAAATTACCGTCTTCCCTCACATTTCCTTCCATTGTGTGTAGTATCGCTTCTGGCATCCCTCATCAGAAATGTTAATTTTTTCGGTTATTCCGTTTATACATCGTGCACTCAGAGAATGCGCTCTATTGACGCTCTTGGTGGAACCTTCTGCATTCGCCATCTACTTAAAGTCTGGCCGCATCTGCCTTGTCCCCTCCCAGGCTGTACTCGAAACTGACTGTGACCGATATCGTCTAGGTTCCTGTCGCCTCGAGACTAGTTTTCTAATTGCCACTTTAACATGAATGGCCTCATCCAGCATATGAATTCTGCCTTGGTGGTGTCCGTTTCGAACATTTTACACAAGACCACATACAGTCCAATCCTGCCTGACCCGCCTACTTACTTTTTAATGAAATCCGTTATACAATACCACATACAGTCCGGCCCTGTCTGCTTTTTATATGTCAAGGAGCGAGAATTTTTCTTCTCCTATAATGCTAAGCCAGTCATGCTCATTTTGTTTATTTTAGGAGAAAAAACTCTCTCATGAAAGGACAAAAGTGCGGGCAGGACGTACCTGCATGTCGCAGTGCTTAAAGGATTCTGCACGGATATCTTCGGGGCAGAAGTGTCAGCCTTGAGTGGTAAGCATGCGTGTCAGACAGGCTTGCATGCGGTATTGTATAAGGGATTCAAAATGGACATCGTCAGGGCAGAATTCGTACATCGGATGAGACTATTCACGTTAAAGTGGCGAGACGAGAGGAACCCAGACGCGACCGGCCACAATCCGCCTCGAGTCCAGCCGAGAAGGGCGCAAGGGAGATGTGACGACACTACTAGTAGACGGGAATACATAGGGTTCCGCCGTGAGCGTCAACAGACCGCCTGAGGTCGAAATGAGGAGAAGATATCGAAAACCGCGAAAATCGTCGCTATAGAGCGGAGAGATAGCATTAGATTTCGTAATTAATTCAAAACAGGGGGCTGTAAAGGTTTTAATTGAGGGCTTCCACTTGATCTACCACTTAATCTCAGGAGGACCCTTCTCGAAGTCAAGAAGGTGAGTGTTCGGAAATGAGACGGTTAAAAGTGTCTTTATGGTTTTCGGTGTAATTTGGTTGCGTAATTTCGATTTCAATGCCGATAATTTAGGCGAAAATTTTATTCTGAATGAAGATTATTCAAAAAAGGCATATTTGGGAGCAAAAATAGGGGGCGTTTAGATGAGGTGCAAAGAGGCGGCGGAATCGCCATGGAGGATTTGCGCGTGGCATAATAATAAAAATAAAGTTTGTTCAAGACCCATGGGGTACGTTCACAATAGGTAAGAATAACTTTTTACATGGATTTTGGGAAAGGTATACAGAATCTATACACTACTTAATTCGTACCTATTGAATTAGTAGTCTGTTACGAAGAAGGTCGAGCGAGCAATGAAAAGAACTTCTTACAAATAAACAAAATGGATATGACTGGATTAACATTACATGAGAAGAAACTGTCGCTAATGAAATGATAAGTAGTGGCAGGACCGGCCTCTATGTGGCATTGTATAACGGATTTCATGAAAATGTAAGTAGGCGGGTCAGGCAGGATTGGACTGTATGTGGTCTTGTGTAAAATGTTCGAAACGGACACCACCAAGGCAGAATTCATATGCTGGATGAGGCCATTCATGTTAAAGTGGCAATTAGAAAACTAGTCTCGAGGCGACAGGAACCTAGACGATATCGGTCACAGTCAGTTTCGAGTACAGCCTGGGAGGGGACAAGGCAGATGCGGCCAGACTTTAAGTAGATGGCGAATGCAGAAGGTTCCACCAAGAGCGTCAATAGAGCGCATTCTCTGAGTGCACGATGTATAAACGGAATAACCGAAAAAATTAACATTTCTGATGAGGGATGCCAGAAGCGATACTACACACAATGGAAGGAAATGTGAGGGAAGACGGTAATTTAATGGCGGCGTCCTAAATTCACGGTGGCCCTTTCTCAGTGTCATAGAGAAAGTTGTCCGGGAAGGATGAGAAAAATAAAGGTTTTATCGAGTCCGTATTCAGATAAAGGTGTAGCCTTCTCCTAAAAGTGCGTAGATTACCTGAAGATTTTATATTTATTGGAAAGTTAATCCAGAGGAAAGTATTCCTGGAAGCGAAAAAGGAGAGCGCTTAGAGGTGGAGGAAGCGGGAGGAGGTATAGTCAAGTAAGAATTGAGAAGATCGTATGGGCGACCACTAGGGGTAAGTGCAGAAATCCGAGGAAGATTTGAAGTGTTACTAATGCGAAAGAGGAGACAGAAGCCTGAATCTAGTCTTCGAACCCAAAAAATAGAAGGTTAATTAGCTGGTATCTATCTCAGTAGGAGATATTTCGATGTTCCCTGCCTAAAAGTATTCTGGCAAAACGTCTTTGGATATTTTCCATTTGAACGACTAGCCTCATTCATCAAACCAAAGAATGGGTAACAATACTCGAGAATGGGAAGTACAAACATACGATTAAGTCTTAATTTAATTTCAGAAATGTAGAAATTGTAAGAAATAAAGCCACAAATTTGAGCGGCATTGGCTGTAATTCTGTCAGCCTGTGGCTAGAGATCAAAATTTTTGGTGTAGCTTAAACCTCAATCTTTGATGTTAGTACATTTAATCATATGTGTGCCTTGAAAGTCTAATGTTTGGGGTAAAATATCAAGTCCAAAACACATACAACGACATTTAGACGGAGAAAATTCCATTAGCCATTTTGAGCTCCAGGCCGAGAGTGCAAACAAGTCAGTATGGATTTGCTCCAGGCATTGAAGGCTCGTAGATTTACTGAAAGAATATACACATTGGAGATCATCGGCGTAAATAAGGGATTGAAAATGGTTAACTGCTTCCGAGATATCATTTATGTAAAGCAGGAACAAAAGAGGACCTAAGACGGTGCCTTGAAGGACATCGCTTATAATAGGGCCTTCACTGGAAAGTGAAGATCGTACTAAAACCTTTTGTTTACAATTGGACAGGTATGACCTGATGAAGTCTATTAGTGGACTTCGAATTCCCTTATCTTCCAATTTAACCAAGAATTTTTTATGTGGTACTTTATCAAAGGCTTTAATAAGATCAAAATAAATAATGACAACCGATAGATGGTCATTACGAAGAGAGGTAAGTAGATTGAGAAACGACAAATGACATGTTTCACAAGAGCGATCTGGCAAAAAACCATGCTGGGAAGGGCTAATAACTTGATTGGCTATGCAGAAGTCAGTAATTTTTTAGGCAAAAATTTTTTCAAAGGTTTTTACGAGAGAAGGTGTTTTATGGACACCTCGACAGTTCCGAACGTCAGAACGACAGCCAGACTTAAATACTGGAATAATAATAGAAGTTTTCCAATAGTCAGGAAAAAAGCCATTTACGATGAATACTGAAAAGAGTTTGCTATGGAGAGAAGGAAAATCTCAGCTGTTTTTTAAGAAAGTTTGGGATATTGTCCGTACCTACTGAGTGAGAGTTTGGAAGATGGCTTATCAGTTCTTGAATAATTTCAGGCGAAAAATTAATGATACTGAGAGAGGCATCAGACAACGGAGGAATTAAAGGGATTGGCTCAGTTTCAATATTGAAATGAATGTAAAGTTTATGCTTTGCCAGACTCCTTTGTAATGAAGGTATCGTTGGTACTTAGCAAAGGTGGGATGACTTGGTGGGATTTAGCAGATGATCTCTGGCAGGAGAACTGCGCAATGGACTTAGAAACATTCACGCCATTAGTAGCTAAAGTCTCTCTACGCGTATCTCGCGCGAGCCTCCTCTTCAAAGATAATTCAAATATTTCAACGATTCTAAGATGAACTGATAATGAGCTCACAGAACGATCTTTAAGCTGCTTCCGTAGCTTTTTAAGTCTGTTTTTAAGAATGTGTGAGACAGAGGTGGACGTGGCACTCGATTTAAACGTCTTCCGTGGAATTAGGTCGAGAAGACCTTCTGTTACGCATTGTAATAAATTGATGAAAAACTTAGATCATTATTTGGAAGAATACTGTGCTTATCAAGAGTAGTTGAAAAGTTATTTAATACTCCCTTTTTAAAACTACTAAAGTCAAAATACTACGTTGTACTGTTGGCTTTGCGGAAATGGCAACTGGAAGGCGGCAATGAATTAATGCATGATCACTTGCAAAAAAGTTCATGATAGAAATCTATAGATAGAGGGAAGGTGCGATTATTAAAAATTAAATCTAATACATTATCGTTTCTGGTCGAAGATTGGACTAATTGAGACAAGTTTGAAAAGTGAATGGTGTCAAAAAGCTTCTGGAATCTAGGAGAGAAAGTATGTGTGTTTTTGTCAATTTCTGGCAAATTAAAATCGCCTACGATTATCTTGACATCGAAAGAAGTTTCTGCAATCTTTCTCTAAGAGTTCACAAAGTTGGCTTTCATTTCCGGAGGAACAAGGAGGATTATATACACATCCGACTAAGGCTTTCCTATTTTGCGGAAGGATTACCGAAGCAAAACATAAATTTCCAGAGAAGGAGGAAATGTTCAAGTTATAAGGCGATTGTGCAAGTGATGCTCTTATGTAAAGAAGGCATCCACCGCCGCGTCTGTCGGCACGGTCCTGGCGGTATAAACTGAGGCTATCTATGTTAAGTGCCGAGTCTGAAATTAGAGAATGGGCCCAAGATTCTGTAATGCACAATACGTCTGTGTCAAACTCAACAGCTACACTTCTTAGGTGTGCCATCTTTTGCACGACAGATCTTGCGTTGAGAGAGACAATACTGAGCGTATTCCTAATATGTAGGTTCCGCTCATTGCTACTTATAAAAAAGGGAGAGCTGGTGGTGGAAAATTAAGCTGTTGGGATGAAGCAATTGGTGGAGGACAAAGTTGCTGGTGTCTAAAATTTGTGGAGTAATTACAACTAACTAGGTATGCAGCACTGTCTGGAAAAACATTTGAGCAGGACCCAGGAAGAGGATAGCTATTTTGTTGATTTCGAAAAATAGGAGGCATGAAAATATGATTTTGTGAATTTTATGCATAATATGAGGCGTAGTTTATGTTAGATAGCGGACCTGATGGTTTCGAGAAACAGATTACATCAGAAAATGGCTTTATTATTTGGGGTGTCCGGCTATCAATGAGATTGGAAAAATTATCGGCAACGCTATACACTTGCATTTTGCAGGCTGGTGTGTAAGTGGGCATCACAACTGAGGTGTTTACGTTAAGTTGAGAATTCGGGCTAGGAACATGTAAAGATCTCCCTGAAATATCATCTGGCTTATTTGATTTAACCGCCAGGTCAGACCTGAGTGGCCAGGCGCGGGAACGGGACTGATTCGACCCAGGTTTATTATTCAGGAACAGAAAAATCTCGGCGTCCTGATGACCCTCACGCTGAAACTACCATGACGATGCCCAAAGGCAGTCAAACGGGTTTTATTTCAGCTGAGGCGAAGATTTGTGCAGATCGATAAGTGGCTGTTCTGGAAAATCTAAGGGGCAGTCGTTTTGCCTCGCTGAGAGTATGCCACCCTAGCCTGACGACCATGATTCTAAAAGGGTTATCAGGCGAGGGTCAATAATTTTGGTCATCTGCCACGCGAAACCAGACTGGCTAAACTAAATCTGCTTCCTCTCAGTAAAAGGCAAATGCGCGACAACCTCACTCAAGTCTGCCGCACTGGCCGTGGCCGTGACTGCGCCCCATACCTCGGCGACTTTTTCGAATTGGCTGGGACAGAGTGTTTGTATGGTCATCCCCTAAACTGCAGAGGAAGTTGGTCCATACAGACGTCCGACGGGGCGTCCTCTCACTGAGAATAGTAGGAGCGTAAAACGGACTCCCTGAGGCGATGGTTCTTTCCGAAACTGTCTAATCAGTTAACTGCAAGCCAGGCACTACTTTGGTGAGAAATTACTGCGCAGATCACCACGATTGTGCCAGCGGCGGCAGTTTGCGTTTGGCTTTTTTAACTTTTAAATTTACGTAAGTACTGATGTAACGAATAGATCCATTGCTATTTTCGGATCTGAACGACAAGCTCAAGGGCGAGAGCATCATTCCATTAGTAAGCTGACTTGAAATGACTGAGATCTATCGATGTATTCGGCGGCAACCAGTAATATACTGCTTGTTGGCACATGCTGCTAACCTGGGCGTGCTAAAAAAAATCCAGTTGATTTCGCCTTCACAGTATCTTCATGTGTTGCAAATTTCAACAGTGTATATGCAGCGTAGTATGCCTGAAAGTATAACGTCATGTAATGTTCTCCTGAATGTGCCAATGGACCTGGAGCAACCGTGAATCTACAAAATACATTCCAACCCACGGTAATTCGCACACCAATTCAGTCCAAACATATTTTGCATGCCACCTACGTTTTCTTGTTACTGACTTCGTTAGAGTCCCGTTAGCAGCAATAATCTGCAATCTCCCACACCGATGCAGAAACCACACTTCATTTATTCCGCAAATGGAACATATTGCTGTATTCGCTAACCCCTCCGAATCTCTTGGTTAAAACTTAAGCGAAAAACTTTCGCCTTCGGTAACAGACGTGACGTGTTATTAAATCACGCCTAATAAATTTGCACACTTGCTTTTTAAATGTGTCTGTGCAAAAGTTGACTTTCCCCAACATGACGATTCTTTAATTCAACAACTTCGACCTTGACAAGCCAACCTTTTATTCACTCGTTGTATAAATTCGAGGCTGCTCACCCACTTAGTCCGACATCGTCAATTCAACAGGCATGAGGGAGATAGTTCATATACAGGCTGGTCAATGTGGAAACCAGATTGGCTCAAAAGTAACATAATTCGATAACTTGCATTTTTTAGTTTTGGGAAGTCATTTCAGACGAACACGGTATTGACCCCACTGGGTCCTATGTCGGTGATTCTAATCTACAACTGGAGCGCATCAATGTTTACTACAATGAAGCGACAGGCGGTCGATATGTTCCTAGGGCAGTCCTCCTAGACTTGGAACCGGGAACAATGGATAGCGTTAGAGCTGGACCTTTCGGTCAATTATTCAGGCCAGATAATTTTGTATTCGGTCAAAGTGGCGCAGGAAATAATTGGGCAAAAGGTCACTACACCGAAGGTGCCGAATTAATCGATTCGGTGCTGGACGTAGTTCGCAAAGAATCAGAAGCTTGTGACTGTCTTCAAGGTTTCCAATTGACTCACTCCCTTGGTGGTGGTACTGGTTCAGGAATGGGCACGCTCTTGATTTCGAAAATCCGAGAGGAATATCCGGACCGAATCATGAGCACATTCTCTGTCGTTCCATCTCCGAAGGTGGGTATGGAGTTCGTCGAGTAAATTTTGAATCCATATTTTAGGTTTCAGATACCGTTGTTGAACCCTATAATGCTACACTATCAGTCCATCAGCTTGTTGAAAATACAGACGAAACTTATTGCATTGACAACGAGGCTCTCTATGACATTTGCTTCAGAACACTCAAGCTCACGTCGCCCACATATGGCGACCTCAACCATCTCGTCAGTGCGACAATGTCTGGCGTCACCACTTGCCTTCGTTTTCCAGGCCAGCTAAACGCAGACCTCCGTAAACTGGCGGTTAATATGGTGCCATTTCCACGCCTCCATTTCTTCATGCCCGGATTTGCCCCACTTACAAGTCGCGGCAGCCAACAGTATTGTTCTTTGACGGTTCCCGAGTTAACCCTACAAATGTTTGACGCAAAGAACATGATGGCAGCCTGTGACCCACGCCACGGTCGGTATCTGACTGTCGCTGCTATTTTCCGCGGTCGCATGTCAATGAGGGAGGTTGATGAACAGATGATGAACGTCCAAAACAAAAATTCCAGCTACTTTGTGGAGTGGATCCCGAATAATGTGAAGACTGCTGTTTGTGACATCCCACCCCGCGGTCTTAAGATGTCGTCCACCTTTATTGGCAACAGCACGGCCATCCAAGAGCTCTTCAAGCGCATTGGGGAGCAATTTACGGCTATGTTCCGCAGGAAGGCATTTTTGCACTGGTACACTGGTGAGGGTATGGATGAGATGGAGTTCACGGAGGCCGAGTCAAATATGAACGATCTCATCAGCGAATATCAACAATATCAGGAAGCGAGTGTCGATGAGGAGGATGTTGAAGAATATGATGTGGCGGAACAGTAAAACTCTTCACCAAAGTTATTAACTCCTTGACAAACTTCATTACAGCGTCTACTCTAACATTCATCCCATTGTCATACAAGTTTCAAAGTTGATTGTCTTGTAAGTAGGAGGGGAGATTAGCCTAGTGACATGTTTGGGGCGACAGTTTCGGGTTTGAGAGAGTCTTAAAGTATTTATCGACCCGAATTGTGAAGTCCTTCGTGGCCTTTCATATCTCTAAAAAGGCTTATGTATGCAGAATGTTGCGCCAGCCTCTATCTTCCTAAGATACTCTAGAATCATAAAAGAACATTTTCTGAAGTGCAAATTATAACGCACCGCTTGATGGAGCCAGAAGGATGAAGTCGTTTTTCGAAGCACCGTGAAACGGTGCTACTCTGGCGAGAATGGATCGGTAAACGATACGCTAGTTTTTAGTTTATGACTTGGATATTATCCGATCGACGTCAAATTACTTTTTGCCGGACCGAAGCCTTCACATTCGCGATTAAAGCATAACCGCTTGATGGCTTGCATCAAATTTCAATCTCGGGACCAGGAAGGGCGAATTCTGACTGTTCAAACATTATACGTAGGAAAGGAACCAGAGGTTAGGGGGAAGTTCCTGCTTTCAAAGCGGTTAAGGGCATTATTTCAAGATCTATAGGCAGATTATGAAGTTGACAAGATTTAAAGCTCTTTAAATTTCAAATCGGCAAGCCCACAGTCAGCTGAAACAACTGACAGTGTGGTCGACGATCCCATTGAATTTGCGCAAGTTACATTCCTCAAGAGACACGCACTGAAAATGGGAGACGCATCTTCATTTCTGCAACAGCGTCGACCAGTTCTTTTCCCTGCGCATTCGAGAAGTGCGCCATCTACGCATTTTTTCATTAAGCACTAGAAGCGGTGAATGCCTTCACTGTTCATATTAACACTGCAACACGCAAGTATGCCGAATAAAAATAGTAGAGCACGTTTTGTCGATGGCGACGGTGAGTTTGTTGCTTCCGATATTTCTGTTCGGAATCCAACATATGTAGGTGTCCAAAAATGCCAAAATGCGGTTCAAAGCTTCTCGGCAATAGATAAAGCTATATGTGAGGAAACAGACAATTGCACAGGAACTAAAAAAATGTAAACTTGAGGGAAATCGCTCGCAACAACCTGTCACGTAATAAATGACAGCACTAAGGAAGCACAGCCTTGGCGTTGGGATTTTATGTTGTTTTAATATGCGCATAGCTTTCTGAATTTCAATACACGCTCAAACCGGAATTACATTCCTCTCGTCTGATCACGAAGTTAATTCTTCCCGTTAAAATGCATTTTCTTTATAGGGGGTTTCTGCTTAATGACATTTTGGGTTAAGTCGAAGACTAGTTCATAGAACGCAAGGAGGACCGGTCTTATGACCAATTTAGTTTCTAAGACAGTTGGAACTAAACGAAGCGTTTAATAAATTCATGCTGTCTGTACCAATCTGCTTGGTTTTTGAAGGTCTTCTAGTGTTTAGAGACAAGCGTTGTAAGGACTCAAGTTTGAAAAATTGGGTTAGACGAGCCAGCTCCTGCACCCAGATACGAGTCGGGAGGGTGCGTAGCTGTCGCCATTGCGGACAGCGACTGGTCAAGTTTTCAACCAGTGAAACAGCTGTACAGAAGGGACTGAGTTTAGAAAGGCAGGCGACCGAGTGTCCCATTAAAACGTCAGCATTCGCCTATGCGGCTAAACACTTTCGATCCCACAATGGGCGCTGTTTTTTCTGTTGTACTGAGAGCGGTTCCAACAGCTCGTCGGGTCTGAACAAGCAATATTGATTAAAACAACGCTTGAATGATCTCTGTTGTTCGAATTCAGCCCACACCCGCTCTGTTTCTCATGGTCCGCTGGTGAGATAAACCAGGAGTTCAGAGCTACCATTTTAAGGGACCCATCTTTTGCAATATCCTGGCATGTTCACTCATAGCTGTCTACACCCCCTCATGAACAATGTATACGCGGTACTCCTTTTTCCTAAGTCTTCCTGCTGCACAATGCCTTGACGACCGTTTTTTAGCCCGGTTTGTGGGCATTTATCATGGCTACAAGTTGTACGGATGTTCCAAAAGTATTGGCTTCACCATTGCAACCCTGAAGTCCGTCTGAACGGTCTTCCCTGCGGGGATAATAAGGGCGGCATTGCCGAGGGTCAGTGGTTGTTTGCACTGTTTTTGCGTGGAACGACTGACGAATCAGATCACGACCACCGCTGCGTGTACACGCATTGGGCGGAGACTTTCGGGCCACGTCAGCCACTGCGTCCGGTTGGCTGACGGGACCAGGTAGACCGTCCCCGGGTCAAATCGGCTCATTTCTCACAATACTCAGACCAACAGGCCTGAACCTATCCCAGCTTGCTTAAATTCTTGATCTAGAGCGCAGCCGACCCTGCTTTGGAAAGGGAGTCAGACTGCAGCGACCCCCCTTCCTTCTCTATGAGTCCTGATCCTACTTGTGGCATGCGTGAATGATGACTTCGTACCACGTCAGTCGGTGCGTCCATTCTCATCCCTAGTCGGCTTGGATCGGGCAAGTCACTGATGACTGTCAGAGAAAAGGGAGAGTAAGATAGGTCCGACTCTGATCTAGCTCTTAGGCTGTATATACAACAAGACGTCATTTTAAGCTATCACAACACGCGAACACGTGCTTTGGAGGGTTACCAACTGGGGAGATAACTCGGTCACCTTAAGGTAGAGGGTCAGACTGCAATGGCTCCTTATTAGCGCGAACTTGTGTGGGATCAAAAGCATCACCTGCGTGTGAGAGCCGGGTCGGGTGTGGCACGCGTAGATGAGCTGTTTAGCTTTGTTTAACCCACCACCGGTTGTCTCGGCTTGATCTTGCTAACGGAAAAAAGTGGATGAGGGAGGAGAGAGCAGGGTAGGTGCTGTGTATATCCGCCTCATTATAGACCAATATTCATTGGTAGGGGGCGCTCACCGATCGTTCATACGATACTCACTCGTTCCGTTGTGCCTTAAGGGCTCTCTCTCGAGCCCAACCAGCAGCCGCACAGCGGCGCATGATATATAGGCAGAATGGTATTACCGACAAAGACAAGGGAGACTGGAATGGCCATTTCTGGCTTATTAGCCGTCGTCAGCCAGCCATACCCAAGCCCCCTACCATTGTATATTCCCGATCGAAGACCGACAGGGCAACGGGCTCGTGGCCCGGTGGGTAGAGGCGTGGACTTCTAAACCAACAGGTCGCGAGTTCGAGGCTCGGGTGTTCCACACTTCTGGCTTGGGTATGGCTGGCTGACGACGGCTAATAAGCCAGAAATGGCCATTCCAGTCTCCCTTGTCTTTGTCGGTAATACCATTCTACAAATATTCATGCACGTCGGCTCTGCCGGGCCAATATCGTGGGACAGCAATGGACGAAATTGTCGTTCGCGACCGTCCAAATATCGAGTGTGTTCCAAAAAGGTGGACTTGAACTGTGCACTACGCAAAGTTGCGACCATAACGGAGGGAGTATCAATCCTAGTTAGGAGATCAGTTGAAGTAGGTATTGACAGAAAGTGATTGATTTGCGAAAATCCCCATATTAGTAATAAGAAGACGAGGTGGCGAGCATACGTAGCTTTCGATAAATTCTCGTCGGGCCAGTACAGTTGGACAAATGTGGTGGATGTGCCTGGTGAATGTCATCGTCTTGGCCTATTCGCTTTCTAACGGTATACTAAAATGTACAGGGTGGATGTCAATTGTGTGGTAGCACCCGTTGACTTCAATTAATAATACGAAAATCTGTATTCAGCGGAGGTCAGTAAGTGGCGTTAGTTCGACCAGTCAGCCTCCGCCTTCCAGCCAATATTTTCAAGTACTAAGTTGCCGTTTCCCCCCAGCATTCATCGGGTCGTTTTTGTGATATGAGATATACAAGACGATGGACGATCACTGAGTTTGCATGATCGTGCACAGTACGCTGAGGTGCGTAACAGCGGTTACGAAGTAAGGAACTCGAGTGTATGCAATGTCTGTAGGTTATGTGAAATCTTAGACATCGACCGGCACAGAGCTTGTCGGACCAAATCGTTGACTGCCTTTTTATTTTTGTTTGTGGCCGAATTTGCGCTCGATTTAACTGCACTATTTAACGTTAACTTCAGTGGGCGTTCCATTAAGCTCCTAAGTCTACAAAACTATGGTTGTACTATAATTACAGTAAACTCTCCAGCTTACACCATGCTGTTTTCTTTTGTCTCAACGACGTCTCTCCGATCCTCTCTACAAAGATCCACGATATTTTCTAAAAGAACAAACACTGTCTTCAGAATGTCCTGCTTTCGGTCCGAATAATACCATAAAAGAAACGTCCATGAGGTCCGTATAGATAAATACCTTCAAGGATTGTACGCAAGCAGACCACAATGGAGGAATTAATTTTTTCTTCGCGTCTCTGAGTGGCCAAACCCACGTGGCAACGCTAATAGTTAGGTGAAAGGAATACCGGAGACGCGCAAGGCCGGTGTCCACTGATTGGTCGTAATCGCTGGAGACAGCTGGGAGGACTTCCGCCTTGTCCCTGCCGCCAATGCCCGCAGGCATTGTAATGATCGTCTTTAATTTAACTGCCGTCATCATTCAGGCGGCTAGAACTGATGTACGTGGACGTCTAAGCAGGACACGAGGACAGAAACCGCCAGCAATACGGGTGGTTTTGAGCCAGCTTCCAGTGAAATTGGGGTTAGGTTTAAGGTTAGGGTGAGGTTAAGGATTAGGCCTAAATTTAGATTTAAAGCTAACGGTTACGTAAGCCAGAATCAAGTTTAGGGTTAAGGTAGGGGCTAGTATCAACTGTAGAGTTAAGGTTTAGGGTAGGACGAGGCGCCCCTATTTCCATGTCCTCCTTAGACGTCCGCATAAGTCAGTCCCGCCATTAAAACTGAAACAGTGTGGCCTACAATGCCGATAGTCACTGGCATAATCGTCTTTGGTCTGATTGCCGTTGTCAGTCAGGCGGGT